AACAGGGAAGTCTGTCAGGTAACTGATATCAAAGCCTTGATAAAGGTTAAACAGGAATGTCTCAGACTAGTTATTTGTGGTCTGGACTGTTTCCCTCCCCTTCTGACATGTCTCTTCAGAGCTCCTTCCCCACCCCACTTAAGCGGTGTGATTTGTGTTTAGCTGTTAGATGTCATGTTATGTTAAATCAGCTGGTTTCTGGTGATTTGGTGATTCTGGTGGCTGCCTTTTCTTCTCTATACACTAGTTGATTGCTGTTTCTATTGCAACAAATCATTTGTAGGATTTCCACCTGAACTGGATCAAAAACTTTTTGAGTTTCAAACATTCTTCTTTGCTTTCCTCCTAGTCAGTCAGTTTCACAATTAAAGGAGCAGTGGTGCCCACCTAAAGGCTGGAAGTAAAGTAAGGATCGGAAGACAGGAGGGAGCTCTTGAAATCATCATTGGCAATGATAGCAAAGCTTTCATGAGTTATCTCGATTGTGAAGGATTTAATACTGATTCTTCTCTAGGAGCAAAGTTCTGCAGCATATTCCTCTGCTAGTACATCATTGTTGTGTCTTGCCTTAATAATGAGCAGAAACACAGATTTTGATAAGACACTTTGATAAATCAGGTAAGTATCTTACCTATGCCAGCCTTCTTTGATGAAAGTATCTTGGGTTTGCAGTTCATCCTGAGGTGAAAAGTTTTGGTCATGTATAAAGTTTGCATGTATAAGATTATGCTATTTATCCGTTACAGGTTTAAATGTTGGAGTGTATTTTTAATCATAGGGCTGCAAGCACTTTGATATTTTTAATTTTTTTTTTTTTACTTATTTTATTTACATATAGAATACTGGCATATTTTGGTCTAGAAAAGTTGGGATCACACAACACAAATGGGCAGATCTGCCAGAGATCATAGGAGAGCCAAGATACTCATCACATGAAGTATTTACGAATAATTACTTTTGAGTGTATAGAAAACATATTCCACAGTGCACATGTGTAATTCTGTGGGGAAGGATTTATTTATTTTTTTTTTGTTAAACTTGGACCAAAGATTTTATATAAAACAATTCTGGGATTTTTTTGGAGAGTCAAATTAAATGTAAATTCTACTGGAATTCTACTACTATACTACTTTGTGTAGAAATGGAGGTCAGGTTTAACATTTACATTGCATTTACTATTCGGACACCACATCCATCCGAAAGAAATGCCAAACCTTCACCATTATGCTACTGCAGTACTGTACTGTACACATCACCAAGATCTGTTTGCACCTATGATTCCGTATTGTTTCAAGAGGGTCACTTTGCTGCAGGCTTAAGCTGCAGTAACTGTGTATTCATGGCTACCAATTGCAGGTAAACAGTATAGCAATCACTATTACATCACTAGCAGAAGTAGCCTGTACCAGCTTTAAAGGGCTGGGTTGATTTACAAGACATGAATCAATGGGCACATGAAATCAACAATTAGTATCTTTTGAAACCAAGAAGACTGTTTTACAAGCAGATTATTTTGATCACATCTTTGTGTTTTGTATTTTAAAATTAATTCTGGATTTGCAGTAACCCCTGCAGAAAATATTTTGAGTAAGTAAAATAAACCTGGTTGTTTCTTCTGAAAGAGATTGTAAATTCACTGTCATACTGTGTAAATGTCCTCTGCCTCTTCAGCCTCTGGATAACTGAATATATTTTAGTTAAGGGTTACTTCTTTGTTTTTAACAGTTTTCATACAAAATAAGAAAGAAGAGTTTCACCTTTCTATCAGAAAATGTCCTGAAGAAAATTCTTACTCCTTGTATATCACATTTATTGCAAAAGTGTATTCATAGTAGCTAAACAGGAAAAAAAAATAAAAAATCCAGTTGTATGTTCAAAGGGTGCTATATATATATATATTCTGTTGTTATATTTCAGTATTTTTTGTGATTACAAGAAACAGTAATGCACTGTCCAGTTCTGGGCTCTCCAGTATGGGTGAGATATGCCGTTACTGGAGCAATTCTAGCACAGGACGTCAAGGATAATGAGGGAAGTGGGAGCATCTCTTATAGAGGAGAGGCTGAGAGAGCTGGGACTCTTCAGCCTGGAGGAGGCTCAGGAGTAATCTTATCAATGTGTGCAACTATCTGACAGGAAGGAGTTAAGAGCGAATCTTAATGAATACAAATTCACCAACGTCAGAAATGCAGAGGGGTTTCACATGGCCTTCTAAACCTTTATTCTACATGCTATTTCTCACCCTCCTCACAATGTGAGAATATTTTCACATTTCTTAAAAGTAAAGTTAAATAGCAAATTATCTTTTTTTTGTCCTTCATGGAAAAAGCAACAATTCCTTGCACACAGTAAATTATGCCTGCTATTTCAGTGCTGATGCAGGACAGAGATCCACGGGCAGCAAAGACACAAGGGTTATTGACGTGTTGTAAACCACAGTAGTGCCTGAGAACAGTCACACAGGAATGAGGGCTTCTCCCCTAAAAAAGGTGTCAGGATCAATAGCCCAACTGAAGTGCATCTACACCAAAGCCCACAGCATAGGCAACAAACAGCAGTGGCTGGAAGCCATCGTGCAGCAGGAACACTATGACATCGCAGAAAGATGGTGGGTTGATTCACAGAACTGGAATGCTGCAATGGATGGGTAGAAACTCTTCAGAAGGGATAAGTGAGGAAAGAGGGACAGTGGGGTAGCTCAATATGTTAGGAACTTAGACACATACAAGTCTATGGGATCCACTCAGAGGTAGTGAGGGAGCTGAGAGAAGTCCTGTCTAAGCCACTTTCCATCACTTAGCAGGAGCCATGGCTAACTGGGGAGATCCCAGTTGACTGGAGATTAGCAAATACAGTGATCATCTACAAGAATAGCTGGAATGAGGATCCCGGGAGATAGTGGCCTGTCAGTCTGACCCTGGAAAAGCTTTAAGAAGCAATTATACCAGTCCTGTTGCTACTTGCTTGAAGCAGAAAAAAAAATCCTAAGCCATGTCTCATTCGCTCTTGTCTATGCAGGTTGTAAGTTCATATTAAAATACATTGTAAAGCTTAGAAATAATCATTACTGACCTCTAAGCTTATGATTCTTTGCAATCATTAAGATTTTGAGAAATCATTATGTAGTCTGTGATTTTATTTAACATATACCTACCTCTGTTTAACTGTAATCCTGCACAGACTAGAAGTGGACGGAGTTTGAAGTTTATCTGGTAGACATTTCATGTTTAGATAATTTGGAAGAGAACTGTACTTTTGTGGCAACACATTTAAATCTGTAATACATGGCAAGCATATAATCATCTAGCTAGGTGGCACCATACATCAACTTACTTTATGTGAGTTACCATCAGTTTGAATTAATGTTTCTGATGCTGCTATTGAGAGATAGATGTGTTTCTCAGGATGTTTTTTAAAACCCAACCAGAGTTTCTATAACAAATTGAGAAAATTGAGTGCATTTGTTCTAAATGCACCAAATGATTTTAAGGCAACACTGAAGATTGATTTGCAATTTATTTTGTCTTCTAATAACTGCTATATCAAAAATTGTACTGAAGCAAGGATGTGAGTAATGGTAAAAAAAAAAATCAGCTTTGTTCTGTTCTTCCATGAGATAGGAATATGTCAGTGAAAATGGATATTTGTTTACATAACTGTGATTTCTTTTTGTTTGACAGCTATCATCAACATAATGCTTTAGCACAGCCATCTTCAGTGGCAGCAAAAGGAATGTTGAGAATGCATTGCACACATCTGCAAACATCTATGTAAACAGTGATTCAGCATGGATCAACTTTCCTCCACTGTCTGTTTTGAGAAGCATAAGTATAGGTACAGAATGTACATGAAAATGTTAGGAATAAAGAAAAAAGCACATTAAAAGCGCACACTTTGTTGGTTTTTTTTTAAGGCATGTTTTTCTGTGCAGACAAGACCTGAACAGCTGACCAGCAGAAATAATCTGTTTTCTCCACCCTACATTCCAGAGTGAATTGTTGGTCTTTAGCATGCCCCTCCTTTTTGAGTTTGTTGCTTTGCTGCTTTTTATTTACCTGGCTACTGAAGGATTTGGAGTCTGTACCATTACTGCCACATGGATGGAAATATGCTGGGGTTTCTGTTCTGGTTTGTTTTTTTGTTTTTCTCCTAACCTTCTATCATCCTGCTTGATATATGTTTTATTATAAATGCTAACTGATAGGTGTCCAAATAGAGGACAGGAGGAAAAAACCTCTCACCTGCCTCACTAATTATGCTATGAGTGAGGGCTGGGGCACCTCCAGAGGGGTGGCATTTATTCCTAGTGAGCTTAAGCCCACACTTGAATGTTGTAGAACTAGTTTTATGTAGATTAGTTGGGTTTATGTTGGTCCCATCTTGCAGGAGGATACGTGTGTACATAACTGTGTGTGTACATTAGTTACTAATGTTTTGAATGATACTTTAAATAGGTGGTGGCTGGAAGAAAAGGGGCATGAGGCAAGAGAGGGAGAAGAGCCACAGCTGTTTGGAGGCCAAGAGACAATGCATTTCAGTTGAAGTATTTTTCCTAGACTGATTAAAAAAGTCTACATCTCTTAATCACAGAAAGTACCCTCTTACAGAGAAATGTCAGTCTTTGAATAAGTAAAAGAGGCTGATTTATTTATTTTTTTTTTTTAAATGAGTATTTCTGGTATTAGAAAAATAATATGCTAGGAAGAAAGCATCTCTACATGAATTTAAAAAGTGTTTTTCACTGTGCACGCTTTCACTAACTGTAGCCCAGCTAGTAGCGCAGGAAAGAAATGAACTCTAAACAGCTGTTGTGCCATTACTTGACTTCAGGTGAGATGTTGTCTTGCTCACCAAGAATCTGCAAGAAACCAGGGCAGAGTGATGTTCTTCCTCCACATATCTGATAAAGGAAACTAATACATAAACCAAACCTGCATGCATCTCCATGACTACTCATCATGATTGTCCTGGTTTGGCTGGGTTAATTTTCTTCCTAGAAGCTGGTGCAGTGCTGTGTTTTGGCTTCAGTCTGAGAACAATGCTGATAACACACCGATGTTTTAGTTGTTGCTAAGTAGCACTTAACTCTGATCAAGGACTTTTCAGTCTCCCATGCTCTGGCAGTGGGGGGGGGGGCGCGGCACAAGGAGGAAGCAGAGCCAGGATACCTGACCCAAAGTAGCCAAAGGGGTATTCCATACCCACAGCACATCATGCCCAGTATAGAAACGGGGGACAATTATTGGGAAGGACTGATGGCTGCTTGGGTCAGGCTGGGTATCAGTGAACAACTGAGTTGTGCATCACTGCTATAGTTTTATTTTATTAAAATTGGGTTCTCCCCCCCCCTTTTAGTTTTCTATCTCTCTCTTTGTTATTTCCCTTTTCATTATTATTAGTAGTATTATACTGTACTTTAATTATTAAACTGTTCTCACCTCAGCTCATGGATTTTCCTTTTTTTCCCCAGTTCTCCCTGTCCTGCTGAGGGAGTGAGTGAGTGGCAGCTGGGGTTAAACCACGACATAGGTCCAGGTGTCTACTCACGGAGATCCAGGTGTCCTAGTGTAATACTATAAACAGGTTGTTCTGGGTTGCTATTATGTGATTGGAATGTATACAGTGCTGCTTTTCAGCAGTAATGTATGATACTCTTTATACTTTGGCTCACAACAAATTTGAAAAGACTGGAGACTATATTTGCAGGGAAAAAAAACAACCCTGGAAGCAGCCCTATGAAAAGCAGAATGACCAGCTCTCTATTTGCTTATGAGGCACTCTGTCCATTACAGGATTAAACATCAGTGAATCTGTAGTGGATTTATGAACTAACACTAATTTTATTTTTTAGAAGTGTCAACTTGGATAACATGAACCACCTTGTAATCTGATTGCTCGTTCTTTGGTAATTCGGTACATGACAGAGCATGGCCTGAAGTTCTGCATTATGTTCAAATGAGACTCTTGTACATGGAAGAGGAAGAAAGGTTAAACAGCATAATGAGAAAGAAAACACTGATAGGCGGCGGTATTTCATCCACTTTTTAATGTTCAAAACATAGATAGTTGCTAGGAAATGCTAGGGTGTCAATGGAGCACTCCTATGACAGCACCGTAATTCTTGTTGAAACAGAGGTTGACTAGTCAGCACAGCTGCAGGTCTTGTGCCTGTTTGCAATGTGTGTAATAAAACAGTCCATTAATTGTGTCCTTTCTTTTTTGAAAAAAGAAAAGTTTAACATACACTGGAAGAAAAGCAGGATGCTGATGAATACAATGTCTTTATATCTGAGTAATTAACAGCCTTGCTGAAATTCTGATGTGCCTGCAGTCCTGTATTTTCAACCATGTGCATCCCCTGTATTATCAATTGAGGACATGTGCTTTAAAAATGTTATGTCCCACAACCATTTGATTAGTCTTTATGTTGAGAAGAGCCATAGTTACAACACCATGTATCAAGTAGGCTATGCTTTATAAGTTCTAGTGAAAGAAGCTGAATTCATTATATATTAATGTCTGGTTTGTACTGAAAATGTCAGACAAATCCACAATTACGATGGATGTGAATAACTTGGGTGTGAAGCATGTTAGTGCAAATACAGTTGCATTCACAGTGCAGGAGAGATCTAGGAAAGGAAGACTGAGACCTGTAAACCCAGTAGCATGCTGCATTTCTTGCTCAGGAATTCTTGAAAGAGATGGCACATAAGGTTGTCCATTCAGAAGTCTTCCCATTTCGCTCTGTGTATGGAGGAGGAGATAGGTCTGAGCTAGGAAGACGAAGAATCCTACTAACTGTTGTGAAGCCTGATTTTTATGGCATTTTAAAAATACTTTTTTTTACACACCAAAGCTGTAGACTATAGTAAGAAAGCTTGATTCTAACACTAATAAAAGTATAAAAGGAAATGCAGCCAAAACAGGCATTTGTTACCTATTTCACAATGTGTTTTTATGTTCTAGCTGACAGAAGGATTTAAATATCAGAAATATTGAAAATTATGTTTTCCTTCTTTAAATTTTTGCCCTTTTTAGGCAAAGTCCTAAAACTGCTGTACCTCTGCATTTTTGCTTTCTGAATGAGATTTTTTTGACCAGCTTAGTTGCTGTTCTGTTTCTGATGAAGAATAACTTTGCCTAAACATAATAGGAAATAATTGCATTTGGGCACACAATGAGACTTCCTGGACTGCTGAAGAAAACACACCTTCCCATTGTCCTTTTGTTGTGTCAGTGAGCAGTCATTCTCTTCAAAGTATTGGTAATTGCTGTCATGGTAACAAAACAAAACCATGGTGTGGCAGCTATTTTCAGCAGTGCACATGTGATGTCTCATCTGACTGTAAAACACATAAGTTTTTAACCAGGATAAGAGGTGTCCTCCAGTTTAAACCTGGTATATAGGTAAATAATATTTTCTGAACGATGGTCCAGGTGTGGGCTTTATTTGAAGTATTTTTTGTTCCGTTGGGGTTCTTTTAGGTAGATGGGTAGCAGGTTAATTTCTAGAGGTGGGATGGGAATGACAGCCCAACCAGTGCAAAGAAATCAACTTGTTCCTCATAGCACTAGTCCTGAACACTTCTGCAACTAACTGTATGGGGCTGGCACTGAAATTCTGAGGGCTCTGGCAATAACCAATGTAGCCCTTGTGTTCTTCAGCACAAAACAAAGCAATAAACTAATACAGGAGTTGCATGGAAAGTGGTGGTCACACTGCAACATGTGGAAAAATGGATCCTCAGATGTCTGTAACAAAGCAGCCAAGAAACAGTGGGAAGGAAGATGAGATAAGCTGATGGGGAGATAACAACTTTCTGAAGAATGGGGGCAAACTATGAATGAAGATTTGGACGACTTCTGTGTGTGACCTTTTTCTTGGGCTCCTGCAATATGAATTTAATGGTAATATGCCTTCCCTCCCCCCCAGCTAACAATGACTGGTGAGACTTAAAACAATCACCTTGTAGCATCCAATTCTGAGGAAGGCAGTTCATATACTTACAGGCATTAGAGAACGTTTCATTGTAAATTATTGCCTTAGGATGTAATTCTACTGAGTTGGAGAAGACAATGGAACTTGAGGTTCTTTTTAGACAGAAGATTTATTTCCTGTTCTGAGGAAGGCATGCTGACCATGTCACGTTTGGATTTGATTCAAGGGAGGAGGCTTCAAAGAGGTGAAAGAAAGGAGATTGTAATAGGGTTTGACTAGTCCCTAACGCTTTATTAGATTTTTAATTCACACCATTCTGTGGCATGCTGCAGGCTACGTAAGTTCTGAGGAAACACAGAGCGTAATATTTATCTTTCAGTCAATAATTATTAAAAAAAAAATGAAAAAAATGTTTTTCCCCTTCGTAGTATTGGAATACATTCTTGCCAACTGAGAGGGAAAGGTACAAAACGAACACAGGTTTTGCACAGGATGAATATTAGCTATGCTACCTGATATTTTTCCTCTTCCTTTATGATACGGAAGCTCTTACCAATAGAACAAGTATTTTAAGTCATATGATAAAAAACTGTTAGAAGAGGTACATACTCGATCACAGTTTGTTTTCCTTTGAGTGAAAATTTGTTGTTAAAATACTTGATGCCTTTTTAACTTGTTACACAAGTCACTGGTCTAATTTTTCTTCATCACCTTACTTTCTCACCTTGCTGCTACAATTGATCCAGTGATGCAAAATGTGCTAAAAAAAACTTAAATAATCCTGTTCCAGTCTTTGACAGAAATAAACATATGCATGTCATCCAGAATCAACGTTGTTATCTCTGAAAAGTTGATATGTAAATCATTACATTAAGGAAACAAACAGGTTCCGGCTTTTAGGGACAGGGGTTGTGGTTTTCAGACCTGTGTGTGTGTGTGTGTGTGTGTGTGTGTTTTAGTGGCTTGGCCATAGTAAGAAGAATTGCTAATTGTTGCAATGTGTACTGGCATTATATATTTTAAATTCCACATATTTTACTAGAATTTATAAACTCATTCTTTATATAAGAGACAAGGTATTCTCCTTTTAAATGTTTAGATGTGAGTTTCTTAAAATAATCTTGCAGTTTCAAGGAACAAAATTGATTAAAGCATTGTTTTTTATCAGTGTTATACATCCTATGACCTTTAAAGTCTGCTACACTGTGTCTGAATGTGCCTTTTTCTGTTTGCCTTGAAACTTGGTCAAATTTAGTCATATTTTTGTCATACTTGTTAAACTAAAGCCACATTCCAAAGTATTACCTGCATTGAGTATATTTTTCACCTTCCTGTAGTTACTAGAGAGTATCTTTGCTAACTTCCTTCCCTGTATTGTAAGGACTTAGTAACAGAGTGCCTGCTGCTTACTTTACCCATTGCTACTACTTTGATTTCTGTTTGGTTTAGAATAGTGTTAACTCATTGTTGGGGTTTGGATTTAAGTGTTCTGAAAATCAGGGACTACATAACTGACTTTGAAGCATGAAAAAAATGTGATCTGGTGGAATTGCTTCTTTCCAGGTGGATTCTGAATTTCAAACATTGTCTTTTATTCCTGTAGTCCTTGAAATGGGAATAGACTTGGTATTTCTAATCCACCGTGGTTGCCTGTTTACTCTGCTGAGCAAAGCTCAGTGCCTTGTGAAAACACATGGACTAGCTCAGCCCATGCTGGGTTTGCATTCCAGGAGTTCACAGTCATACTACCCTAGTCTTGTACATATCCTGTCAAGAAAGATAGTGGGGTTTACTTAACAAGGTATGAAATATATTGAACAGGCATGTGTTATGATGTACCTCATTCACTAATTGAGCATTTTTGTTGCACTATACAAATATTTGATCTATCTTATTTTCTGGAAGATATATGAAAATATAATAATGCTAATAATACGAATATTGCTACTAATAATCATAGTCTTGGAGGTGTGCAATCAAGTATAATTTCTTTAAATGTCTTTAGATCTTATCTTTAGTATGGTTGCAGAAGAAATACAAAGTTCAAACTTCTAAGTTTAGGTAAGCCATGATTTGAATGGATGTAATATAACAAAGCTGAAACTGGCTGCTGGTACTTTCATGTGTATATTTGGTTTATATAACAAAAAAATTGAAAATATTCTGTATTCCATTCTGTTCCTGTGCATGCTATCAGATCTAAAAATTTCACATGGAACAGATGAGAGGTGATGGGCACAAGTTACTCCTGGGGAGATTATGACTGGACACAAAAAGAAAATGTTTCACAATGAGAAAAATCAGTTACTGGAATAATCTCTCAGGGAAGTGGTGAATTCCCCAACATTGGACACTGTTAACATTCAGATGGACAGGGCCCTGGGACATCTTGTCTAGGTCATGCTTTGCCTAGAGAGGTTGGGCCAGGTAATCCTTTTCCAACCTGGTACTCTCTGATTCTTATATTCTGGTCATTGAACTGCAATGTGAAACCTGTCTCATTGGACTCATGCAATACAGGTTAAACTGCTTCTGACATAAAACACACAAAAACTTGTAATATCATTCCTGATGAATGAAATTACAGCATAATTTTTGGAGGATTGACATTTCATTGCTTCTTTTAAAATAAAGTCCTCTGAGTCATGACAATGAATGAATTAACGGGCTAATTTGTATCCACCCTCTTTCTTAACCAGTATTATGTAGCTTCAGTTTTAAATTATTTGCACCTTTAGGTTTTTTTTTGGGGGGGGTTGTTGGGTTTTTTTTAGGGTGTTTCCTTTCTTTTAGGGCTTGGCCAATTTTACTAAAACATAAATATTTATAATGGCCTTTGAATCGTTAACTGACTCAAGCAATATCTTGGCAACTGAGATAACATAGGAGATTATCTAGTATACTGTTCTTACACACTGCTTTGCTTCCAGGAATGCTGGGAAAGGCTTCAGAACAAATACCCCCCTAGCCCATTCTGGTGTACAGGGCCTACAACACTTTTGAAGTTTACTGCTAAACAAATTGGCTAACAGTGACCTATGATGCTTTTCAGGAATATTCCTGTTGTAATTCGGTACGGCCTTGTAACTTGATTTAAAAATTAATCACTAAAGTTATAACATTGTGGCTGTGGTGAACACAGAAATGTTTGTTGGTATTTGTACCAAATCATAATGCTTAGACATGATTTTCCATCAGTCTAAGTTGGCACATCATCATGTACTTCTTGTTACCTGAAGCTCTGCAGAGGTCTGTGTAAGGGTGAATCTTATGTCAGTATTCGTAACATGTCTATGTACTTCAGACAAAGAATAATGCAAATATGTTGCAATAATTCCCCATTTTAAAGTTATTCTTTTGCTTCTCTTTGTGTTTTGTTTTTTGTTGGGGGGGGGATTGTTAGTTTGGTTGGTTGGTTTGGGTTTTTTTTTAAGAAACTAGATATGGCTATAATTTCCATTGATGCTTTTTGAACTGATGGAAAAAATATAGCCGTACTTTCTTGGCATGGTGTGGTTTAAACCCAGTCAGCAAGTCAGCCACGCAGCCCTCGCTCACTCCCCCCCCCCCCCTCCTCCCCCCGCTCCTGGAGGGATGGGGAGGAGAATCAAAAGAATGTAACTCCCATGGGTTGAGATAAGAACAGTCCAGTAACTAAGGTATAACACAAACCACTGCTGCTGCCACCAACAGTAATAATGGTAAGGGAAATAACAAGGGAAGAGAATACAACCGCTCACCACCCACCGACCGATACCCAGCCTGACTGAGCAGTGTTCTGTCCCTTCCGGGTAACTGCCCCCAGTTCTACATCCTGGGCATGACGTGCTGTGGTATGGAATACCTCTTTGGCTAGTTTGGGTCAGGTGTCCTGTCTCTGCTTCCTCCCGGCTTCCCCTCCTCCCTGGCAGAGCATGAGAATCAGAAAGTCCTTGGTCAGAGTAAACATTACCGAGCAACAGCTAAAAACATCGGTGTTATCAGCGCTGTTCCCAGGCTGAAAGTCAAAACCACAGCACTGCACCAGCTACTAAGAAGGAGAAAAATGACTGCTGCTGCTGAACCCAGGTGCAATCACCAATTGACCAGATGAACACATTTTATTTTTTAATTACAAAAAACAGGAGAGCTTTTTTAAATTTTTCTAATAAAGCAACTCTTATACCCAAGAGGTATCTTGATAAGCTTGAGTTGTGTTTTCTTATTCTCCATAAATCACCCTTAGAAATTAAATATCATCTGCAGTAACTTAAAACAGCTTTGCACTGTTATGTACTCAGTCAATCTCTGCACTAAAAAAGAAAAAGTGCAGGAGTTGTAAAATCTTCAGCAAGTGTAAAAAAGAACCCAAAACAAAAAAAAAAACAAACAAGCCCAAACTATTATGGTAACACAGAGATTTCTCATTTGTAATATACGGTTCTGCTAGATAATCTGCAACAGCTCTCTTTTTCCAAACGGTATGATGGATTATTGTTTTCTACAAAACAGTTGCTAGGATAATTCTAACAGTAAGCCATCAGAACAATGTTATGGCTAGTAACACAGTAGAATTGTAAGCACGGTAGAATTGTGACTAATACAATGCTTGGAGGAAAGCAATTTTTTTTCCTCTCAAGGAGTGGATTGGTTCTTCCAAAGTCAGGCTGTAGCACTAATTATGTTGGCTGCTCTACCCACTTATAAAGTGGAGTCAAGGATGGGAATACTGTGAAACACGACAAAAGTTTGCTGGTGTCTGACCTTTTTGCACCTGATAGTGTTTAATTATATTGGGGTATTTCTAGAGGCCCATCTTTGGGCTTTTACAAACTGTTAAGCAGCTTCATGTTACTGTCCTTAGCTGGCACGGCTGGTATTCTGAACATTTGAAAGTCAAAAAGGCTAGTGTGGGTTCTTAACTAGATTGCAATTCATGCACTGCAGCTCCAGTTCAGAAACTGTCAGTGTTCTGGTAAGTATAACAATTGTTTTC